GTGACTCCACTCCCCTCATTCCTGTGACTCTATCATCCGTGATTCCACTCCCCTCATTCCTGTGACTCTATCATCCGTGACTCCACTCCCCCATTCCTGTGACTCTATCATCCGTGACTCCACTCTGCTCTTAACTGCTTTCGTTTTCCCACTGTCTATTCTGCGGACAGTCAATGGTTGTAATCTGCTTCCTGATCATCTGGTGGCATTGTTCATCTGCCTGCACCTCTCACAGGGCATGGCTGTGCAGGATTTGGCCACAACATGGTGCACGTGAGAATCGTGACTGGGCGTACAGACCAATGTCTCCACGCAGAGTGGGAGTTCTCCCCCGTCCTGCCACTGCCTTCCGTCTGTCTAACCCCAGCTGTGGCTTAGAGAAGGCCATTGTAATTTCAAAAACCATACTCTGTGTAACTCAAGACTCGTGTTTAGCAGAGACTTCCACCCTGGATGAAAATACTGTAGGTGTCTCCTGTGGGCGCTCCCCGACCATCCCCCGAGGAGGGTCCCACCAGTGCTGATGCCCTCCTTCTGTCCGCAGAGCTGGTCATGCTGCTGGAGTGGTGGTCCTGCACGGAGTGCACGCTGTTCACGGACCAGGCCACGGTGGAGCGCTTCGGGAAGGAGCACGCAGTCATTATCCTCAACCACAACTTCGAGATCGACTTCCTCTGTGGGTGGACCATGTGTGAGCGCTATGGCGTGCTGGGGGTGAGTGAGGGGGTCCCAGGAGGGCTGGGGGTAAGCGGGGTGCTTCTAGAGAGGGCTGCAGGTGAGTGGGGGGGTCCCAGGAGGGCCAGGGGTAAGTTGGGGGGGTGTCCCGGGAGGTCTGGGGGTAAGCAGGGGATTCCCAGGAGGCCTGGGGGTGAGCGGGGACTGGGGTCCCAGGGAGGGGCTAGAGTAAGCCATGGGGGTCCCAGGGGAGGTGCTAGGGGACTAGGGGGTTGCTGAGGAGGTGCTGGGGGGGAGATATTGGGTAGATTAGTGGGGGTCCCAGCAGAGGAGCTAGGAGAGGCTTGGGGTTCCCAAGGAAAGGACTGAGGGAGCAGGGGAGACCCTGGGGTGGTGCCGTGGAGGCCCCTGCGGTCTAAGTCCCTGGGTGTTCTTCCTGGGGCATCTCTCTGAGCTGGGCAGTGGTGCCTGGCTGGTTGAGGTGCCCTGGCCCGCGGGGCCTCAGCTGTCCCCGAGCTGTGCCCTTCTTTCTCGTCATGGCCTTTGCTTTTGGGATGGCCCCACCTGCGTCCCCACAGAACTGCTTCCACTAGCTAAGCTGCCTCAGATGAAATCTAAGCTACTCCTCGACGCTGGCAGAGAAATTTCATTGCAGTCAAAGCCCGTGTGTGAGGCAGGACCCCCAGGCTATTCCTGGGAAGCCTGGTACCCTCTGCGTCTGGCTCAGCCACCCTCCCTGAGGATGGGCCCTCTCAGCCACACCTGAGCCTCAGTTTCCTCCCACCCTCACAAGGGTGTCCACCCACCCTCAGAAGCTGGGTCCTCATTCACCACAGACACCCTGAGCCACGAAGCCATGACTCGCAGAGTGGCACCACGCAGGAGCCTGCCCAGGCCCCCGCCTCCGTTCAGTGCTGATGTGCTGGTTGCCCCGCCCTCCTCCCTCCAGAGCTCCAAGGTCCTCGCTAAGAAGGAGCTGCTGTACGTGCCCCTCATCGGCTGGACGTGGTACTTTCTGGAGATTGTGTTCTGCAAGCGGAAGTGGGAGGAGGACCGGGACACCGTCGTCGAGGGGCTGAGGCGTCTGTCCGACTACCCTGAGTACATGTGGGTGAGTGCACGGAGCGGCCGATGCCCTGCATGCTGGGATGAGGCCATGCCAACTCCGGGTGCCCCGCTGCCCACATCTCAGGCTGGGAAACCCCACGAGAGTCTCCGCACATGGGCACTGTCTCCCACAGGGCCAGGGCTCCCCCATCCGAGCTGCAGGCGTGGAGGTTTCTCCTGAGCCACCTGCCTGCTACCCACCACAGTCCCAGCTCTGCCCAGGCCATCCTGAGGGGACCAGGTCGGGGGGACAGGGCAGGGTGTCCCCAGTGAGCCCGGCTCTGCCCACCCTGCTCAGTCTGCATCCCCTTTCCTTCTTCCGTCCGCTCTTCCTGGTCTGTCTTGGACAATGGCTGCCTGTGCTGTTAGCATTTCTGGGTTTTGTTTTTTGTTCTTTTTTAAATTTTTTTTTAAGACGGAGTCTTGCTTTGTTGCCCAGGCTGGAGTGCAGTGGCACGACCTCAGCTCACTGCAACCTCCACCTTCCAGGTTCAAGCGATTCTCCTGCCTCAGCCTCCCAAGTAGCTGAGATTAACAGGTGTGTGCCACCACGCCCGGATAATTTTTTGTATTTTTAGTAGGGATGGGGTTTCTCCATGTTGGCCCGACTGGTCTCAAACTCCTGACCCCAGGTGATCCGCCTGCCTCAGCCTCCCAAAGTGCTGGGATCACAGGCGCGAGCCTCCACGCCTGGCTGCTGTGAGCGTTTCTAAGTCACGCTGTGGTCAGTAGATGAAACCCTGTTTTCACGCTCATCAGAGGCTGCTGCCCTGGCATACCTTCATATTCCAGTTCTTTCTGGAAAGTTCTTTCTGGAGCTCTCCTGTGTGAGTGTGTGTGACTGGAGTGCAGGCTGCGGCCCTAGAACAAAAGAATGCTTCAGCCACACCCCTCGCTGCTCGCTAAAGCGGTGCCACGATTTCCACAATTCAGCCACAGCCTTTGCCGCCTGTCAGAGAGGCGGGGTGGCTGCTCTGTAGAGTGACCCTTCATCTCCGTGTCCACCCTAGTTTCTCCTGTACTGTGAGGGGACGCGCTTCACGGAGACCAAGCACCGCGTCAGCATGGAGGTGGCAGCCGCCAAGGGGCTGCCTGTCCTCAAGTACCACCTGCTGCCTCGGACGAAGGGCTTCACCACCGCGGTCAAGTGCCTCCGGGGGACAGGTAGGCCCCAGACTGCCTGAGCCAGGGCTGCCACCGTGTGCACGGAAAACAGTGGTTTCTTAAAAAAAAATGAGTGTGTTCCATGTGAAATGTAGGATACCAAGAGAGCAAAAGCAATCAAGTGAGGGGTTAGCACTGGAAGGCTCCCACGTCAGGCTTTGAAGTGATAAAATAATAACTCATGAGAAACAATTAAAATAATAAAAAATACATAACGCAAAACCTTATACAGGGAAATAATGATGATGATGTCTTACTACTCCAAAAGGAGTCAAAATAAAAGAAAGGGACAAAGAACAGAAAGCAGCCAGACAGCAGGGTCACATTCACAGTGTCAGTACAATACATGCAGCATCAGTACACGCAGTGTCAGCACACACGCACAGCATACAGTACACACAGTGTCAGTACACACGCACAGCATACAATACACACAGCATCAGTACACACAGCATCAGTACACACAGCATACAATGCACACAATGTACAGTACACACAGTGTACAGTACACACTCAGCATCAGTACACACAGCATCAGTACACACAGCGTACAGTACACACACAGTGTACAGTACACAGTGTCAGTACACACAGCATATAGTACACACACAGCATACAGTGTACGCACATTGTACAGTACACACAGCATCAGTACACACAGCATCAGCACACACACACTATACAGTACATACAGCATCAGTACACACAGCGTCAGCACACACACAGCGTCAGCACACACGCAGAGCATACAGTACACACAGTGTCAGCACACACGCACAGCATACAGTACACACAGCATCATACACACAGCATCAGTACACATTGTCAGTACACACAGCATCAGTATGCACAGCATACAGTACAGTGTACAGTACACACTCAGCATCAGTACACACAGCGTACAGTACACGCAGTGTACAGTACACACACACTGTACAGTACACACAGCATCAGTACACACAGCATACAGTACACACACAGCGTACAGTACACACACAGCGTACAGTACACACTCAGCATCAGTACACACAGCGTACAGTACACACACAGCGTACAGTTCACACACACTGTACAGTACACACAGCGTCAGTACACAAAGCATATAGTACACACACAGTGTACAGTATACACACAGTGTACAGTACACACTCCATCAGTACACAGCGTACAGTACACATAGCATACAGTACACACACACTGAACAGTACACACACACTGTACACACAGTGTCAGTACACACAGCATCAGTACACACAGCATATAGTACACACATAGCATACAGTATACACACTGTACAGTACACACAGCATCAGTACACACAGCAGTACACACACACTATACAGTACACACAGCATACAGTACACACAGTGTCATTACACAGCATCAGTACACACAGCATACAGTACACAGTGTCAGTACACACAGCATCAGTACCCACAGCATACAGTACACACTCACAGCATCAGTATACACGCACAGTGTACAGTATACACAGCGTCAGTACACACAGCATACAGTACACACAGTGTCATTGCACAGCATACAGTACACACTCAGCGTACAGTACCCACAGCATACAGTACACACAGCATCAGTACACACGCACAGTGTACAGTGCACGCAGCGTCAGTACTCACAGCATACAATACACAGGCACAGCATCAGTACACACTCAGCGTACAGTACACACAGCGTCAGTACTCACAGCATGCAATACACACGCGCAACATCAGTACACATGGGGAACGCCAGCGACTCAGTGCCCTGGTCAGCAGAGGAGGACGGGGAAAACGGTGAAAGAAACTCGGAGAAGTTCTGGTGTCAACTCCCAGGACGGGGCTGGCCCTGGCACGTTCTCCCGAGGGCGGGGCCAGGTCCCAGGTGGAACTTCTTTCCCTGGGCAGTGACGGTGCGGCCTCCTGTGCTGGGTCACCCACCCTTCCGTCTCCCCCCACAGTCGCCGCTGTCTATGACGTAACCCTGAACTTCAGGGGAAACAAGAACCCATCCCTGCTGGGGATCCTCTACGGGAAGAAGTACGAGGCGGACATGTGTGTGAGGTGAGGCCAGAGCTGCGGTCCCGCGCCACCCCCATACCTTCCTGAGCTGGTGCTGGGCAGAGGCTCCATGTCCCGTGGCCCTGTGGGATGGAACTACATGCAGGGTCCGTCTGGAGCCCTGCCCCAGTGAACAGCACACAGGAAAGGCCCAATGGGACTTGTCCAGGCCTCGGGCAGGCAGGCCACGGAGGGGACACGGAGACATGGGGGCTGCATGGGAGACTCACCGTGGTGCACGGTGTGTTTCCTTCCTTTGGGGAAATTGTTGAGCTGTCACTGGGGCCACATCCATCTCTCCTTCTGCCTCCTTGGGAAGCCCCTGCAGTGCCCTCTGTAAGATGGACTGGACTTTCCTGGCCTGGACTCAAACCCCACCAGGCTCCCGAAGTCTCCTGGGACCCACAGTCACATGACCTGGGGGCATACGGCGCTGACTTGTGAAGGGTGAAATCCAGGCAGGTCTCTTGGTGGGCAGGACGGGGCCCCTGCGGAGCCTCTGGCCTGAAGAGTGCTGGGAGTGGCTTTCTGCTGGCCCTGGCGATGGCAGTCCGGCATGCAGGGGACCCCAGTGTTGAAGGAGACAGTGGTGAAGGCTTTCTTTGTTGTTTTGGAGACAGACCTTGCTCTGTCGCCCAGGCTGGAGTGCAATGGCTCAATCTCAGCTCACTATAACCTCCGCTCCTGTGTTCAAGCGATTCTCCTGCCTCGGCCCCCTGAGTAGCTGGACAGGCACATGCCACCATGCCTAGCTAGTTTTGTATTTTTTTAGTAGAGACAGGGTTTCTCCATGTTGGCCAGGCTGGATTCATACTCTTGACCTCAAGTGATCCACCCTCCTTGGCCTCCCTAAGTGCTGGGATTATAGGCGTGAGCCACCACGTTGGGCTAAAGAGCCTGTTTTAAACCCCGTCTTGAGAGTTGAGGTTTCACTACTCCGGGCCCTGGTCACTGTCCCAGTGAAATAAAAAGGGAATGGCATGTCCAGCCTCTGGGAGGCACCCCGGGCTTGCTTTCCTGGGGGCAGTCTGTCTCTTTGCGCACAGGGTCAGGGGTGTGGGTGCTGCCAATGAGCATTGCTGCTCTTGGACTCTCCAGGCTCATGTAGAGGAGAAAACGCACCAGAAATGCTGTTGACTTAAAACACAGGCTGCGGCTGTGACCCTGATCCCAGCGCGAGGCGTCGTTTCAGGCAGGCTGTTGAAGCTTGGCTCTGAGGTGCCTGAAGCACCCGTGCGCCCTTGGGTGACCCCCGTTGAGCTCGTCAGTCTCTGGTTTCATTCAGTGTGTGCAGAAAGGCAGGGTCCTCCGTGGTGTGTGTGAGGTTGCACAGAGCTGTCACTGCATGCGTTCCCACATTTGCAATCCGACCACCACCAGCTGGGTGTGTCCTGGTCAGCCTAGCCTGCCTGCCGTGGCCATGGGCCCTCCACACTCTGGTCTCGAGAGCCTGAGCACGTCCAAGTTAAACAGAGCAAAACACAACAGCACCCAGTTCTTCGGGCCACACTGTAGGTGGGAGGTTTCCAGGAATCGTTTGTGAACATAAACGTGAGCTAGGTCACATTCCCTTCCGGTTCAAGGACTGGCTGATGACAGCTGGAACCCCTCTTCTCCTGAGCCGGGTGAGTGGGGCCGAGCTGGCGGTCCTCTCCCCTGTGTGTCTGCAGCCCTGGGAGGAAGCTCTGAGCCACTGTGGGCCGTGGAGGCTGCAGTGACTGACCGGGGCCCAGGACGGTCGCATGGCTGGGGCAGGACATGAGGTGGGGTGATAGCAGCCGGTGGCTGTGGGCCAGATCCTGGCCACAGCTGGCCACAGTCACCCTCACGAGACGAGCCTGGGAGGCGCGTCTTGCTCTTGTCCTTTGGTGCTTAGTGGTGGGCCGAGGCGGGACGGTCGGAGAAGCTGCCCAAGGTCTGTGCTGGCTGTGGAGGAGCCGGGACGCCCACCAAGCTGCATGGCGCCGCCACCTCCGTGCCACACGGCTCCTGCAGACAGCAGACTCCCCCCGCCCCTCCTCATCTACCGACCTTCCCGCCACTGCCTTTATTTTGCCCAATCATGTTTTAATAAATACTCACTCTGAACTTCTAAGGCCCCGGCTGTTCCAGTCACTCGCTGCTTGGCTGTCCGAGGAACAGCAGTGTCTCCGCAGCCATGCCATTAGAGCACCAGGTTCAGCTGGGCATGGGGCTGGCCCTCCTCCAACGCCCGGGGCCATGGGTACGGGATGGCTGCAGGGCTCTCCTGGCCCCAGCACTGGCCCCTGGCCAAGGGCCTTCAAGGGGCTTGAGTCAACGCCAGGAGGCACATGCTCAGGGTGACACCCTGGAGTGCAGAAAAGATAGAATTTTTATTTATATTTACTTTTTATCTTGTCATTTTAAATTCTTATCTTTATATATTTCATAATGTATGTAACAGACATACAGTAAAACCTGTACGTGGGGTATGTGTGTGTGTGTGTGTTCAGGTGGGGTGTGCTTGGTGTGTATTATGATGTATGCGGTATATGTGATGTATGTATGGCGTGTTATGTGTGCGTGTGGTGTATATATGTGCATGTTTGGTATAAATTACGTGTGTGGTATGTGTGTTGTGTATGGGTGTGGTATGTACAGTGTAGTGTGTAAATATATACATGTGGTATGTATAAATTCAATGTGTGGTATGTGTGTAAAAATGTGTGTATAAATTACATATTTGTGTGGGGCAGTGTGTATGATATAGTGTGTGTATAAATTACATATGTGTGTGTGGTGTGATGTGTGTGGTGTGCAAGAAATGTGTGTGGTGTATGTGGTAGTGTGTGTATAAATTATATATGTGTGTGTGTACTGTGTGGTGCGTGTATAAATTATAAATCTGCATGTGTGTGTGAAAAATGTGGATGTGTGTGTGGTCTGTCTGGTGTGGATATGGTGTGTGTATATAAATTATATGAGTGTGGTGTGTGTGTAGTGTGGTGTGTGCATATAAATCATGTGTGGTGTGGCGTGTGTGTATAAATTGATGTGTGTGCTGTGTATAAACTATAAGTGTGTGTGTGTGTGTGGTGTGTGTATATGAATCATGTGGGGGTGGTGTGCGGCATGGTGTGTATAAATTGTATGTGCTTTGTGTGTGTGGTGTGGTGTGTATGACCTGTGTGTGTCAGGGGCCACAGTCAGCCAGGGTGGGCCTCTGGGCAGGCCCTCCCCTCACTGTAGACAGAGACAGCCTCTGGCCTGGGTCCTTTCTGAAACGGCGCCTGTGCCGAGTCCTCCCCATGCCGGCTGAGCCTGGGGCCAGCATTAAGCTGTTTTATTTACTGGGACGTGGTGCTGTCTTCACTGCCATCTGCTCACCAGCGTGCGGTGGAGCCTCGTGAACGCTGCATGTGTGCTGATGTGTGGTGTGTGCTGTTGTGTACTAGCGTTTGCTGATGTGTGGTGTGTGGTGTATGCTCACATGTGTGTGCCGTGTGCTGACACGTTGCATATGCTGGCACGTTGCATATGCTGGCATGCACACTGGTGTGTGGTGTGTGCTGGCATGTAGCGCATGCTGGTATGTGTGTGCTGGTGTGTGGTGTGTGCTGGTGTGTGGTGTGTGCTGGTGTGTGCCGTGTGCTTGTGTGTGGTGTGTGCTGGTGTCTGGTGTGTGCTAGCGTGTGGTGTGTGCTGGTGTCTGGTGTGTGCTGGTGTGTGGTGTGTGCTGGTGTCTGGTGTGTGCTGGTGTGTGGTGTGTGCTGGTGTCTAGTGTGTGCTGGCGTGTGGTGTGTGCTGGTGTCTGGTGTGTGCTGGTGTGTGGCGTGTGCTTGTGTGTGGTGTGTGCTGGTGTGTGGTGTGTGGTGGTGTCTGGTGTGTGCTGGCGTGTGGTGTGTGCTGGTGTCTGGTGTGTGCTGGTGTCTGGTGTGTGCTGGTGTGTGGCGTGTGCTTGTGTGTGGTGTGTGCTGGCGTGTGGTGTGTGCTGGCGTGTGGTGTGTGGTGTGTGCTGGCGTGTGGTGTGTGCTGGCCTGTGGTGTGTGCTTGTGTTGTAACAGGTCTCAGCTTTCACTTCTGATGGGGAGAAGATCCATAGGTGGAAACCCCATACACCAAAGCTTCAGGGTCCTCAGTTTCTAGACGGAAGTGCGAGTCGTGTGGCCCTAGATCGTGGAGAACTGGCGGGCGTGGAAACCTCGCCGTGGGCCCTGCAGCTCCAGAAGGGTCTTTCCTGCTCTGAGGTGCGCCGTCGCCCCCTCCTGGGCGCTGGGAGGCACTGCGGTTGCCCGTGGAAGGCAGGTTTTAATTTTGGTGTTTTGGGTTTTTTTGGCTTACAACACAATGAATTGTTTCTTCCTCATAAAGGTCCATGATGAACCCAGACAGTGCACAGGGCAGACCAGCAGTCCCACGTGGTGGCGTAGGGCCACCCTTCCCTAGCAAGGTGATTCTCTGATAGCTGTGGCAGGGAAGAGGCAGCATCTAGCGCCAGCTGTTAAGGGCTCCCTCACGGAAGCCACTTGTGGGAGGAAGGGATGCGTGTTTTTCTTTTCTTTTTAAGAGAAGACCACATTTTATTTCTGTTCATGTTAATTTGCAATAAAATTTTGTAGAAAATGAATTTAATTTTAATCAGGTTGACTATAAGGCAAGATTTTCTGAATTTTGTATAACTTTGATTTTTTTGAAAGAAAGAATTCACGTTCCAAGAAAACTCGACTATTCAGACACATGAGCCAAATTTTACATCAGATTTTTTTTTTTTTTTTAAAGAAAGATGCAGGGTCTCACTGT